GCTAAGGGAAAGTTCGGCTGGCCCAAAGCTGACTTAGAGATGTCACAAACACGGGATTGGCTAGAAAACGCTAAGGGAAAAATCCCCTTGGCGCGCTCTGGTACAACCTAAGTAGGGGGGGGGGCGGGGTGGGGTCAGGCAGAATTTTTCGGGGGGGGGGGTCCTAGAATCAGAAATCAAAACTTTGTGGGTGGGGAAGGCCTGGTTGGAGCACTTAACGCATCCGAGGAAGGGTCGAACGAAGCACTTAGTGGCACGGGTGCAGGGCAACCTAACACTTGATGTAGTCGAGCTGGAGCAAAAGTAGCCCGGAATTGCAGGGCATTAAGGGAATATGCCCGTCAATAGACAGGCCTGATCTAGTCAGTCCTCGAAATTCGAGGGGTGAGACAGTCTGTGTCCGTGCGTGCACCCAGCGAACCACCAACAAATACGTAAACCATTCCCCAATGATGACCTAGATTCGACGAGTTGTTGGTGTTGCTGATGTGACTGAGGCAGATGCGTTAGGGGGAAAGGGAGGTTCGGGTCGGGAACGCCAGAGGGGAGAGGGGGAGGGGGAAGTGGATTGGCGGGGGAGGGAAGGGGAAGAGGAGGGAGGGAAGAGAAAAATGGGGGAGGAGGGGTGTACTGTACTGGCGTACACCATACCAGACAATACAGAATAACCCAAATCAGGGCTAATTTCGGACGTAGGTCGGTCGGTAGGTTTGATGTTTGTTCGTGATTTTCTTGCTGAAAATTACCCAGCTTGCCGAAGATAACCGAAGTAACCGTCTTTCTCCTGCCAACAAAACAATGTTCATCCCGTCATGTCCAAAACAAGCTACACCTAGTCCGCGGTATTTTAACCGGCGCTATCTTAACCACGCGAGGGTACTTCTCCTTTATCAAACTTATTTAGTCGGGTTGTTTCAAACTATACGAGGGTGGAATCTAGCATTTCCTTCGCGAGATGACAGCAGAAAAAACTCAGTGAATGCCGAGTGTGACAAATGTCAATCCGTCATCTTGGAGCACTAAGTGTGAGTTCCTTAGACGGAAGTGCTTTCGGCTGCAGAATCGTAGCCTCGATGACTCTTGGTGCTAATGATATTACCCTGAAACGAACAAAGAGGGTTTAAAAGAACAAAGTTTTTTTGGTCAAAATACCGCGAATTAGGTGTAGCCGCATTCTGCCCACCAGATCGAGGGACTCAGGCGAAATCGTTGCGGTTGCTGGTTTGGGGGGAGCCATGTTAGGGCTGGGTTGGGGATGGTCTATCAGCAATCAGAACGGAATTTCAGCCACGGGGGGTCAAGGGCCAACCAGCTGTCGCGCGCGCGCGAGATCACGTTGTTGTTGCGCGGCCGCAACATGCTCGGCCACCCAGGAGGACGCGCACAGCTGGCTGGCAAACTGGCATCCCAGGCGTGGCCCAGCCTGCCGGTCCCAAACCCAAACCGAGAAAATACCGAACCTGAGTCGTCTTCTTGCTGCTCCTCTTGATTCATGAGGGTTTGGCTGGGATGGCCGACTGGGCAGGGAGGGTTTGGCTGGGAAGAGCCCATCCTGGCAGAGCGAGATCCGAAGTCATTCGTTTGCCAGAAGAAATCAGGAAACTGCAACTGCCAAGTCTTGTGATTGGTCCCACTGCAAGAACTCTAGGACTGCAAACATCCTACTGGGAAAAATGCAGTGAATACGGCACCCCACTGGAGTCGATTAGCAGTGCCAAATGCGTTAGGAACAAGTAAAAAAAACCTTTCGTCATAGTGGTAGTTGTCTGATCGCACCGCCGCTGCTGCAATTTAGTGATACCGCGAAATGCGGATACGGAAACGGCTTGCGCAACTAGCCGCCGCTGGCGGCGGGGTTTACAACCCCACTGGCAATGGTGCCATGATTGCAGCCTGCAACACTCGCGATCTTTCATCATTGCCGGCTATTCCGGCGGATGATCTGGAAATTCCGCTGGAAGCAGCAGCACGCGTTCGTTTAAAGAAGCGAAACTCTTTTCATTTCTACGACGTGACGTCAAATCAGCAAGACTGTGCCGCAAATTCTCAAAAGCAGCACCGTGGATTCGAGAGATCAACACACCAGGCGTAAGTTTATCGCGGCTCCCGCCAAACCGCATGCAAGCTATCATGATGGTAGCAAATCAGTAAAACCTACCACGATGTTTCGCCATCATCATCATCAACATCATCGATAATATGATATTACTATACATCGGGCAGCTCCAGTCGCCCCGCCGACGCATCGGCAGATCTGCTTCGAGTGGTTAACACCAGTGTTGCAATGACACAGCAGGAAACCCGGATTCGATCTTGCCGCGAGCGGCTATAAAATTGGTCGACCCTTCTTTTCTTTGAGTCAACCCTTTTTTTGTGGTCCTGCAAGCGCCGGGTGTGACGGCTCCGTCGTCCCCCTCTCCTCAACGTTCCAATGGTCCTTTGAAATAAGCATAGACAAGACAGCCCCCCCCCCCCCCACCCCCCTCCCCCCCCCCCCCCCCCTCACCTCCCCCCCCCCCCCCCCCTCCCTCCCCCTCCCCCCCCCCCCTTCCCCTTTCTCCCTCCCCTGTCTCTCTCTCTCAAACGATCCTCTTCTTTGATTCACTGATTCATTTGATTCATGGCAGTATTACAGAGAATGAGGTGAGCTCAAGCGAGCAAGGCGTCTATAAGCATCCTGCTCCCGTCATAGCTACCTCAGGCTGAGGGAAGCTCCATAACTACCGTGGGCTCGCAGACTCTGTCACCTCCAGCTACTAGCTCCCACCGTGGGTCCCTGAAGCAACTATGGAGTCGACTCAAAAGTTGCGCTAGCTCGGTGGTGACTTTTGAGTCGACTCAAAAGTCCACCTAGCTCCACCGTGGGCTTCAGTACGGCGAAGCAGCCCCGGAGAGACATTGCTTAGTCCTGGTTCCCTCCCTCCTTCCCTCCGTCCCTTTCTCCCGCCTCCCTCTCCCTCCGCCCCTCTCTCCCTCCCTCCCTTCCTCGCTCCTTCACACACACTCACACACGCTCCCCTCCCCCTCACTTCGTCCTTCCAAGAGACAGTGCTGCTACTACTATTGAGCCTACTAAGTATCTAATGGCTGCAGATGTGTGCTGCACTATACCTTTGCACCACGCGCCGCTTTCACTGCTCCTCCTTTGCACGGGAAGTTTCCAGGATTAGCATAATTTCCGTTGTACCATACTGTGTTTTGGAGTGTTGGGGTGCAGTGGAATGTGTGGTGAAGTTGTTAAGACGAGTGTGCCGTGAAAGAGCGGAATGTGCCGGTTATGTGGTGAACGAGAGAAAGCTCCTTTCGTGGATGTCCCAACCATCATGCTCCTTACTTCTTGTCTCAACAACCTACCATGATCCGCATGACTTAAGCTTGCATGCAGATGCTCGTGTAGTTGAAGCTGGCTCGAAGAACCACGCAGAATTTTGAGTTGACTGAAAAGTCAACTTCTAAGCCCACAGAAACGCATGCACTGTCACGCTGGCTCGGTGAACAAGCAGGCTTTTGAGTCGACTCAAAAGCTAGCTAGTAGTAAGCCTGCAGAAGCTCGAGCATTTCATGCAGGTTTGTACTGCAGTCACACGCAATATCACACTGTGCGGTGAAACATGCTGCACATTTTCAACCATCGTGTTACTGACGGTGCTTCTCACGTGAGCTCCCTGCACGGGTCTGGGGCCTCTGCAGGCACCTGCGGCTGGGACACCAGGAAGAGGGCTGTCGCAACCGCGGTTGCAGCATACTGCGTAGTATGCTTGGCGCATGCTGCTCATGCTTAGTATGATGCCTGACGCGCACGGCTGTGCTCTACGTGATCTTGTGTTTCTCACCGCCATTCACACTGTGGTGCGTCCCTCCTCCTTGCACCATACTTGGCCCCTCCAGGTGCAGCTTAAACTGGTAATTGTTATCGCCACCTCCATCACCAGCAGCAGCAGCTCCCTCATCGTTTTTTTTTTTTTTTTTTTTTTTTTTTTTTTTTTTTTAATATATATTCATACTAAGCCCCTCTAGGTGCAGCCCTAACTGATGATCGTTATCGCCATTTCCATCACCAGCAGCAGCACCCTCATCACCTCAAGGCTCTTATGTGTGGTCAATTTTAGGGCTTGGGAGGAAGTGTCTTGCCCTCACAGTGTTACAGTCTTCTGCGCCCCCCCTGCTGCTCCTCCATGGTTATCCCCTTCCATGCGCAGCCATCATCACCAACAGCAGCAGCAGCAGCAGCATCATCTCTACTTCAAGGGTCTTGTTAAGATCAATCAGCATCAGCATCAGTTATGTTTGCATTTCTCAAAAAGAGATACTTTGCGCTCGCAACGTCGTTCACCATTCAAACTAATGTAAACACCCCCCTCTCCCTCCACCCCCTCCCCCCCTTCCCCCTTCCCCCCTTTTCGGCCTTTCCATGTCCCTCCGTGTGCAACAATAGTGACAATCAGCATCAGCATCACCTCGAGTGTGGAGATAACATCTGCAGCTGTCCAGATCAAGCTCGTGCCTGCCAGGACCCTCTGGCATGCCAGTCCACTGCCTCTTGCAGCGATCCTTTACTCCGAGGCGCGACACGGCCGGCTGCACCAATCTCATCAGCAGCATCTGCAGCAGCCGTTGCACCAGGAGTGTCTGCAGCAGCAGTGGTATCAGCAGCAGCAGTGGTATCAGCAGCAGCAGCAGCAGCAGAGACAGCAGCAGAGACAGCAGCAGAGACAGCACCACCAACACCAACATCGCCATCACCTGCATCACCAGCATCAGCATCAGAAGCACCACCACCATTACAACCAGCAGCAGCAGCAGCAGCAGCAGCAGCAGCAGCAGCAGCAGCAGCAGCAGCAGCAGCTCCGGTAATTGCACAGACAGCAGCACAAAGATCACCAGCACCTGCTACAATGGAACATGCACAGCCACAGCCACAAACACTGCCCCGAAAACTGACACAGCCAGCCCAACAGGCAGCAGTAAAGCGCAGGGGCGGGCGCCCAGGGCGGGTCAGCATGAAATTTCTCAAGGACCTTCTCTCACCTGAGCCTGCATCACCCGAGCCTGCATCACCCGAGCCTGCGTCACCCGAGCCTGCGTCACCCAATCCTGTGTCAACCGAGGCTGCGACACCCGAGCCTGCCTCACCCAAGCCTCCCTCACACGGGCCTGGCTCGCACGACACCTTCTTACCCAAGGCGGAAACCAAAATCTCTGCAGATTCGGCAGAAACCCCGCCGCTCCAATCCCCATCCACCAGTCTTCCATCCGCCGCTCCAATCCCCATGCGTGGCAAGCTGAGAAAGCAGTCTTCCATCCAGGCGCCTCAGAGGCACCAGAAGAAGCAGCCTTCCATCCAGGCGCTTGCGCCTCAAGGTGAGCCTCACGCCCCACCACTCCACCCACCCTCGCCCCAGCCTGGCGGTGCCACACCAAGCAAGCGCCCCCGGAGCATGAGAGCCAGAGCCCCCAGCAGGCGCCACACCCATTCACCCCAGCTCCTGGTGGCCCCTGAATTGCCCTTTGAGTCGGCTGACAAGCCGCCTCGAAGCCACAGAGCCAGAGAGAGAGTTGATTGCAGGCGCCGCACACAGGCAGCCCAGCAGCTGCTGCTTTCCCCTTCTCTGGCCTTGCATCGAGTGCATTGCGCGTCTGATGCCTTCGCAGGTGATTGTGAGCGCGGCGGTGGAGGGGAGGAAGGGGAGATGAGAGGTGGGAGGAGAGGGGAGAGGAGGGGTGAGAGGAGAAGCGAGAGGAGGGGAAGGAGAGGTGAGGGACTGGGAGGGAGGGGCGTTGGGGATGGAGAAATTGGTGGGGTGATGGAGTGTAGAGGTGGGGATGAGGAGGGAGATGAGGGGCGTGATGGGGAGGGAGATGAGGGGCGTGATGGGGAGGGAGATGAGGGGCGTGATGGGGAGGGAGATGAGGGGCGTGATGGGGAGGTCGCAGTGGAGGTGATGGGTGCATTTTATGATGACTTGAGTGATGAAGGCTGGGTCAGCGAAGCTGCTTGTAACGAGGACAGCAGCAGTGATTACAGTGGAGGTGCTGTGAATGGGATCAGTGAGGAGGGCGAGGGAGGCAGCGAGGACAGCGCTTTTGAACTTGGAAAGCTGGGCAAGCGCAGGAGAGCAAGAGCTACACACAGAAATTCCGTTACAAGCAAGAAGAGACGGCAGATGAAAGCCACCAAGAGGAATAAGAGAGACGGCTCGATACCGAGAGCACCAGCCCCCGGGAGTGATATCTCGGGTGGTAATTCCCCTGGGGGTAATATCCCTGGGGGTAATTCCCCTGGGAATGATAGCCCTGGGGGCGCATTCACACAGTCGGTGGCACGGCATTGCAGTCGCACGGATGGCAAGGGGTGGGTGTGTATGAGGATTCCGAGGCTCGGATTCTCCCTGTGCGATCACCACATTGGGAAAGCGGCAAAGCTGGTGGCAAAAAAACGGGAAGAGAAGCTGGTTGCAGCTGCTGGGGACATTGAGGAAGGGGAGGAGGACGGGGAAGGGTGTGATGGTGGAAAGAAGGGTGAAATGCAGAAGGGTGGAATGAAGGAGCGGAAAGTTGATAGTTCTCATAGTTATGCCATGGGTAGGGAGATGAGGAGGGTAAGGAGAGTGAGACACAAGAAGAGCAAGGGCTGAGGTTATATCGAAGAGTACAATTTCGATTCCCGAGTTACTTATTACTAATTGAGTGATAGAATCTGGGGACATGGAAGGAAAGTGGCCATGCGTATGCCAGGAACATACTGTATATCTTCCTGCTTCAGGAGAACAAAAAATGTGAAGAAACGGGTTCAGGTCAGAATTCCCACCCACGGTGTGTAAGCGGTCAGACTTCCCTACCTTTTCCCTCCTCCCTGCCCCCTCTCTCTGTCCTCTCCCCCTCAAGCTCCATCATCACTGAATTTAACGGTGATTCAGCGTACGCAAAGGGTCTTTGGTGCAACCGACAAGCACAGGGAAGGGATAGAGAGGGGGTGAGGGAGGGAGAGAGGGGAGGAGCCGGGGCTTAAGTGTCAAAGTAGATGTTGATTGAAACAAGGGAGCCACGTGATAGAAGTAGTGTTTTGAGACGCCTCAAAACAATACTTCTGTCACAGGGTGAGGGAGGGAGGGAGGGAGGGAGGGAGGGAGGGAGGGAGGGAGGGAGGGGAGGGGAGGAGCCGGGGCTTTAGTGTCAAAGTGGATGTTGATTGAAGCAAGGAAGCCCCAGCATGTGTATTGTGTGTGTGCCATGTGCAGGAAATGTTGCACTCTCTGAACGCTTGCAACAAGGGACCATCCAAGGTGGGCTTTTCTAGCAACTTTCTCCTTTTGAGTCCCATTGATATCCACCGGAAAAAAGTTGTTACCATGCTAAAGCAAAGAAGGGTGTAACACAATTCGAGCCCCCTCACATTCTTAGACCACACACCAGGATTGATGCTCGGAAAAGCAAGAGCAGTATGGTGCTTGTTTTCTAGTGAATAGTTGGTTGATGTCTTCGTGGTGGTGGTAGCAGACGAGACAGATGTGACGAGAAATTGTAAAAAAAAATATATGCTATGTATGTTTAGGTTGTAGCGGGGTAGCCAGTATGGGGTACAGCCCCTTTAGGGTTTCATATTTGTACCAAACTCTTTTCTAGTTCATCCATTCCTTCCTAGGATTCTGACATGGTATTCAGAGCAGTAGGTCCGTAGGACCGATTTTTTTTTAGGGCCCACCTACCGTTGCGGTTACTAAGCTGCCCCACGTCGTGCCTGCGCTGCGCTGCCCGCGCGCGCTGCCCTAGTCCTGAACGCGCCGCCTGCTCCTGTCGCCTTAGGAGACCGCGCGCGGCCCGCTGGTGCCCCGCACACCGCCTTAGGAACCCGCGCGCCGCATTAGGAGCCCGCGCGCGGCTTGCTGCTGCCCCGCGCGCCGCGTCTGCCGCCTGCGCAGCTCGCTGCAGCCCCGCGCGCCGCGTCTGCCGCCCGCTGCAGCCCCGCGCGCCGCGTTCGCCGCCTGCGCAGCCCGCTGCTGCCCAGCGCGCCGCGTCCGCCGCCCTAGCGCAGCCCGCTTCTGCCGCGCGCTGCCTTACCCGCCCGCGCGCCGCTTCAGCAGCTTGCGCGCGCCTCGCCGCTGCCCTACGCGCCGTCCTTGCCACGTGCGTGCCGCCCCAGCAGCTTGTGCGCCGCCACAACCGCCCTATGCGCTGTTTCTCCTGTCTGTGCTCTGCCTTGCCGCCTACGCGCTACTCTCTCATGCGTTGCACTCATGGCGACTCTCAATGTCCTCGCTTTCGATCCTGACAGTTTGCCACATGGCTCGATGACCTGAAACTGTTTCTTCTGACTGATGCCAAAGACGGAGTTTCACTGTTTGATTACGTGACTGGCACTGCCGTTGCTCCTACTGACACTGCTGCCGCTCTTGACTGCTCACAGTGGCAGACTCGTGATGCAGCTGCGCACCTCGCTATTCGCAACCATCTGCCGATCACTGAGCGCGCGCACTTTAGTCAGCACAAGACTGCTAAGGCACTGTATGAGGCTGTAGTTGCCCGCTACTCTTCCCCAGTCACTGCAGCCGTAGGCCGTCTCATGCTACCCTACATGTTCCCCGACCTGTCCTCGTTTACCAACGCTGAGGACCTCATCTCTCACCTTCGCGCTAGTGACGCTCGCTTTTGTGCTGCCCTTTCAGACGACTTCCTCGCCGAGAATCACCCCCCGATGTACTTTACTCTCTACTTCCTCATCACCCGCCTCCCTGACACTCTTCGCTCAGTTAGGGACCACTTTCTCACCCTAGACCCGACCACTATCACTGTCGCCGACTTTGAGACGCACCTCCTAGCAGCTGAAAAGAACATTCTTGCTCTAGGTGCTGCTCGTGGCACTCCTCGCACTCCCTTCTTTGAGGAGTGCTTCCCTTCCCCTCTTGCCCCCTCCTACGCCTCTGCTGCAGCTGCTCTCGACTACCTTGGTGCTGAAGAGGTCGGGGCTGCTTCTGCTCCTAGTGGGAAGCGCCGCAGCGCTAGGGGCAGCAGGGGTGGCAAGGGAGGTGGAGGTGGCGGTGGAGGGGGCGGTGGTGGAGGCGGCGGGGGTGGTGGAGGTGGTGGGGGTGGTCGTGGAGGTGGAGGTGGTCGTGGGGGCGGCGGGGGTGCCGGGGGCAGCGGAGGTGGCAGCGGCGGGAGTGGGGGAGGAGGGAGCGGTGGTGGCAGCGGTGGTGGGAGCTGGAGTGGAGCCGGCCAGAAGGGGAGCTCTAGTGGTGGCCAGGGACAGCAGCAGCAGCAGCATCAGCAGCGTCAACGTCAGACCCCTACGCCTCAACAGCTTCATGGCTGGTACGCTCAGCGTGGGTCATCTGGGGGTCCTGTCCACTGCACATATACCATTCGCACAGGTCCCCGCGCTGGTCGCCCATGCAACGGCTTTCACACGGAGTACCGCTGCTTCTCTCGGCTCAGCGACGCCTGGCGCGTCAAGTTTCCTGAGGCTACTGAGTTTCCCCCACTGGGCTGATCTGCTTAGGGGTGATGTTCCTATCTTTGATCTTGACTATGATGCTATTCTTGCTGCCATGTATGCATTAACTGTTAGTGCTGAGGGTGACTGCTACTTGTGTGTACCGCCTGACCCAGGTATAGCACCAGGTATAGAGCCTGCAGCCCTTGGTGCTTGTGAGTCTGTTCTCCCTAGTACTGCATCGGCTCAGGCCTTGCACACCTTTACTCTTGACTCTGGTGCTTCCCGCTGTTTCTTTCGCGACAGTACCATAGTCACTCCCCTCTTTGCACCTGTCCCAGTCTCACTGGCTGACCCCTCTATGGGCCCAGTGCTTGCACGGTCCACCAAGGTGCTTCCGTGACCGGCGGTCCCGTCTGGTGAGTTGTCTGGTCTCCACCTCCCCTCGTTCTCTACGAACCTGGTGAGCAACGCCGTCCTTCAGGATCATTCGGTTGACACCTTTACTCCTGGAGGACAGCGTGTGGCGATCTGCACGTGCTGTCGGACAGGCCGCCACCTGGCCACGTTCACACGTCCGCCTAATTCCAGTCTGTACACCCTCACCACTGCGTCGCACTCTACCCCTTTGTCTCCTCAGTTGTACGCGTCCGCTCAATTAGCTACCCAATGTGAGTGTTGCCGCCTGTCGCACCAGACTATCCTTTGGCACCACCGCCTTGGTCACCCCTCCTTGCCTCGCCTTCGTGGCATGCACTCTCGCCTCCTGGTCTCTGGTCTTCCCAGGTCTCAGCCCTCCCTCCCCCCCTCGCCTGCGCCGCCCTACATTCCTTGCGTCGAGGGGTGGCAGCGCGCCGCTCCTCACTCCTCCTCGTTCCCTCCCACAGAGGCTCTACTGCAGACTCTCCACCTCGACGTGTGGGGCCCAGCCCGCGTCCGTGGACAGGGCCACGAGCGGTACTTCTTGCTGGTAGTCGAGGACTACACGCGTTACACTATGGTCTTCCCCTTGCAGCGCAAGGGGGATGTCCCTACAATTTTAATCCCTTGGATCCGTGCTGTTCGTCTCCAGCTCAGCGAGCGGTTCGATTCGGATTTTCCTGTCATGCGTCTGCATTCTGACAGAGGTGGTGAGTTCTCCTCTGACCTCTTGCAAGCCTACAGTGAGGAGCACGGCATCCGCCAGACGTTCACGCTCCCGGCATCTCCGCAGCAGAATAGGGTTGCTGAGCGCCGCATTGGCTTAGTCATGGAGGTGGCTCGTACCTCCATGATCCATGCGGCTGCCCCACATTTTCTGTGGCCGTTTGCGGACCGGTACGCCGCGCATCAGCTCAACCTCTAGCCACGTGTCTCCGTTCCGGAGACTTCGCTCACACTACATTCGACGGGGGAGGTTGGCGATGCGACGCGGTTCCGGGTCTGGGGTGCTCGTCCCTTTGTCCGCGATACCACTGCGGACAAGCTCTCCCCTTGCGCCATTCCCTGCGTCTTCCTTTGTTTCCCCCCTGACGCACATGGATGGCAGTTTTACGACCCTGCCTCACGACGTGTCTTTGCGTCTTAGGACGTCACCTTTGACGAGTCGGTCCCCTTTTACCGTCTGTTTCCCTACCGCACTGCAGCTCTCCCCCCCCCGTCGCTCTTCCTCGCTCCAGGTCCTCCCCAGGTATCTCCCTACCCGCTCCCGGTCCTGCTCCTTCAGGTGTGTCTCAGGTAGACCCTCCTCCCTTGACTGAGCCGGTTGAGGTCACTGGTGACTCAGGTCCTGCTGGGGGTGGTCCTGCTTGGGGTGCTGAATCTAGGGGTAATGAGCCTGGGGGTGTGGAGCCTGGGGGTGCTGAGCCCGGGGGAGCTGAGCCTGGGGGTGCGGAGCCTAGGGGTGCTAAGCCTGGGGGTGCGGAGCTTGGGGGTGCTGAGCCTGAGGGTTCGGAGCCTGGAGGTGCTGAGCCTGGGCGTGCGGAGTCTGGGGGTGCTGAGCTTGAGGGTACTGAGTCTGGGGGTGCTGCGCCTCGGGGCACTGAGGCGCCTGTTGAGCAGTCTTCTTGGAGCGGCCGCGTCCGTAGTTGCTCTACTGGTGCCTCGCCGCAGCGTTCTCGTAGTCGTGTCCCGCTCTCCCCACAGCAGTTGCGCGAGTGGTACGTGACAAGAAGTAAGAATGGAATGAATGCACTATGAAACAGTTGGGTACAAGTACTAACTCTAATTGGGTTGTACCCCTTTTGGGCTACCCCACTACAGCCAACACAAATGTATAAGCTATAATGTTCTGACACACCCCCATAGGCAAAGTGGGGGAGAACAAATGGTCACAAGACCAGTCAAGCAAAGCAAAGCAAAGCAACACAAGCTCAGGGTGGATCACAAAGTCACCACACAGTCCAAGCACAAGAGTAAGGCCACAAGGCCAGTTCACATGCAAGGTCATATATATAAAGGTAAAAACAAGCAAGGGCAGGTATAGAAAGAAGACAGTACAAACAAGATCAAGAAGTGAGCAAGTGAGGCCAGGTAGGCACAAGACCTAGCACAGTACAGAAGCGCTGATGATCACAAGGCGGAAGGGCTTTGGTGAAGATATC